GAGGAGCTCTAAGAGGAAGGATCGCCAGGGAGCAGTTGAGAATGCGCGAATACCGGTTTATTTCTCAACCACTCTGCTAGAATCCTCTATTTCCTTAGTAAGCACTTATTGTCAATCGACACAGGCAGTCGTGATGCTGTGAATAATCAAAACAAATCGCTTTTGGTAATGAGACACTGAACCGACACAGAAATTGAATTTGCACTACATTCGCGAAAGCACTATCCACAAAAAAAGTTATGTGGTTAATTCCGCCCATAGGTAAAACATTTACGTAATTGGCTGCAGCTCTTTGGAATCATTTGTAATTTGCAACGGCTGTATATTTGAAATTTAAACTGTCTTTTTAGGATAAATAATAATGAAATTCGATTAGAAAATAAAGTACTTTTTAGAAAGCTAGAAGGGATGTATATATCTTCCATTGTCCATTACCACCAATGCGCTAGTTCAGTGTGATGTCATTTTAGTTCCACTGACATTTAATTCTAACCAAACTTTTAGCAAAAACATCAATAAATTTGACATATACGTTTTTACTGTTTTTAGTTTATTTCTAAATATTGTTTACCGATCATAAAAAATATTTAAAGGTATGTAATTGGTGTAACTAAACGATTGTATATTTGATGCATGCTATCTACTTACTTTAGGAATATATTTATAAAAGTGAAAAAAACGATATAATTTAGGTAAACAAAACGAACAAAACGCACTCAAAAATCTACTGTCACTTTAATCGTCAGTGGAACCATAATTACATCATCACTGAACTAGCGTGCAGAACACAGTTATGTGAGGAATAATCAATAATTAATATATTATACGCACGGCACTCATGCCAAATTAAGAAATTAAAAATAATGTAATAATGTTTACTCTCCTTATAAAATGCGGTAAATATTAAACGAACCGTCAGTCCACCTGTACTTGATTTATGTGTGTCAAAATCCGTTGTTTATCAATGAAAACTTCGAATCGTAAACTTTAAATGCACTGTTTACCGAGGCACAAGTGTTCGAAAACATTCCTGGAAGACAGTCTGCGATATCAATGCAGTACTGTCTTGTGGTGTGTATTGTGTATGTGGTGTGGTTGGTTTAATTTAGAAATTTATTTAAATAAATAGAAATATGGCGTTCTTTAGACCATAAGCGAATGAAGATAATGAAATTGCACTGTATAGTATAGTGAGATTAAAGACAGGTATGAATTTAACAAAAAATATTTAGATATACAAACACAAGTTATTTTAAATATATTCGAATGTTTAAAAAAGGAATATGATAATGCAATCATAATAAGAATTTCTGAATTAACTAAAGTATGGGACACAAATATAGAGAATGATATAAGAAGTAACTTTTATTTGAACAATTTTTTTCTCCAAACGTAAATAACGGATATATTCCATAAAATATAAAAACGACCTCATATAAAGAACTCCTCAGATGTTCTGACTCTGCCCAAAATCTAATCAGTTCACCTCAGGCCGGAATAAAGCTTGAGTTTAAAATTTAATATTTTTTTGTATCCGTTCATGAGTTATCGAGGATACAGACACACATACACACATATACATCATCGCGAAAATAGTCAAATCGGAATCAGGGGGCCCCAAAACATAAAAAATCCGTCGAAAACTCGAGGTCGAAAAAAATCATGATTCCTATACTTTTCCTTATCTGTATACAGATTCCTAAGTTAAAATAAATTCAATGAAATAACAGTAAACTCTCAATTTTTATTATCAAAAAGGGGGTAACCCCATCGCTCTACTATATCCGACCTTAGCTTAATACTCATTAACAGCCCAGAAAAGGTATAAAAAAGAGGGGGTGGGAAAATAGTTCAGCCTACATTTCTAATTTTTACTTTCCTATCTGTATACAGATATAAGGAAAGTATAGGAATCATGATTTTTTTTCGACCTCGAGTTTTCGACGGATTTTTACGTTTTGAGGTCCCCTGAATCCGTTTTGACTATTTTCGCGATGATGTCTGTCTGTCTGTGTGTGTGTGTTTGTGTGTGTGTTTGTGTGTGTGTTTGTGTGTGTGTTTGTGTGTGTGTTTGTGTGTGTGTTTGTGTGTGTGTTTGTGTGTGTGTTTGTGTGTGTGTGTGTGTGTGTGTGTGTGTGTGTGTGTGTGTGTGTGTGTGTGTGTGTGTGTGTGTGTGTGTGTGTGTGTGTGTGTGTGTGTGTGTGTGTGTGTGTGTGTGTGTGTGTGTGTGTGTGTGTGTGTGTGTGTGTGTGTGTGTGTCTGTGTCTGTGTCTGTGTCTGTGTCTGTGTCTGTGTCTGTGTCTGTGTCTGTGTCTGTGTCTGTGTCTGTGTCTGTGTCTGTGTCTGTGTCTGTGTCTGTGTCTGTGTCTGTGTCTGTGTCTGTGTCTGTGTCTGTGTCTGTGTCTGTGTCTGTGTCTGTGTCTGTGTCTGTGTCTGTGTCTGTGTCTGTGTCTGTGTCTGTGTCTGTGTCTGTGTCTGTGTCTGTGTCTGTGTCTGTGTCTGTGTCTGTGTCTGTGTCTGTGTCTGTGTCTGTGTCTGTGTCTGTGTCTGTGTCTGTGTCTGTGTCTGTGTCTGTGTCTGTGTCTGTGTCTGTGTCTGTGTCTGTGTCTGTGTCTGTGTCTGTGTCTGTGTCTGTGTCTGTGTCTGTGTCTGTGTCTGTGTCTGTGTCTGTGTCTGTGTCTGTGTCTGTGTCTGTGTCTGTGTCTGTGTCTGTGTCTGTGTCTGTGTCTGTGTCTGTGTCTGTGTCTGTGTCTGTGTCTGTGTCTGTGTCTGTGTCTGTGTCTGTGTCTGTGTCTGTGTCTGTGTCTGTGTCTGTGTCTGTGTCTGTGTCTGTGTCTGTGTCTGTGTCTGTGTCTGTGTCTGTGTCTGTGTCTGTATAACGCATAACTCATGAACCGATACACGGAAAAACACCAAATTTCAAACTTAAGCTTTATTCCAGCGTCTAATGAGCTGATTAGATTTTGGGCAGAGTCGGAACATCTGGGGGGGGGGGGGTACTTTATAGGTGGTCATTTTTATATTTTATGGAATATATCTGTTATTTACGTTTGAAGAAGAAAATTTTTTAAATAAAAGTTACTTCTTATTTTATTATCTATAATTTTTGTTATTTACAAAATTTTCCTAAAATGGTCCGTATTCGAGAAATTTGACAAAATGTAAAAAAATATTTTTTTTTATAAAAATTGTTCAAACAAAAATTGTTTGTAATATAATTCTCTATAATTTTTGTCCCATAAATAATTTCTCTAAAATGGACCGTATTCGAGATATTTGAGAAAATGTGTAAATTTCGAAATTTGAAGAAAACTCAAAAACGGATAAAGAAAAAATCAATAAATTTTAAACTTAAGTTTTATTTCGGCCTGACGTGAAATGATTAGATTTTGGACAAAGTCGGAACATCTGGGGGGGTACTTTATGGGAGGCCGTTTATATATTTTATGGAATATATCTGTTATTTATGTTTGGAGAAGAAAATTGTTCAAATAAAAGTTACTTCTAATATTATTATCTATAATTTTTGCCTTATGTAAAAATTTCCTGAAATGGTCCGTATTCGAGAAATTTGACAAAATGTGCAAAATTCTGATTTTTATGAAAATTGTTGAAATAAAAGTTGTTTGCGATATCGATCTCTATAATATTTGTTCATACATGATTTTTTTTTAAATGGACCGTAATGGAAAAATTGTAGGAAAAGTGCTAAATTTAAATTTTTCAGTATTTTCATTTTCAATGAATATCTATAGAAAAATGTTTCGCGGTAGATGTATGTGGACAATGTATATATTTAGTTTATCCTCTAAACATTTATAGAGATGCTGCAATAGGTTGTACACAATAAACGGAAAAAGCCTGTAATAACTAGATAGGAAAGTCATGTGTTGGACACATCAGATTTTTTAATTATCTACACAACCAATATCTCAAAATACCCGAATTATGAAAAACAAATTTCAACCCCCAATTACACTTAGAAAGGGCAAGGGAGGTAAATGTACACCCACCCTACACTAAAGGGGGAGGGCAACGAAGTGACTTGACCTTTGGAGGAGTGGGGGTGATATTGTTTTTGTCTCGAAGTCTAATCCATCGTACCCGAAGTTAATTTTTTTTAAGTTTAGCAGTTCTATATATCGATCTCCCCTGGTGTGGGGGGAGAAGTAGGGAGGGGATAAGTTGGGCAAATTCAAATCGTTTCAGATGGGGCCCCTGACCCCGCTATTAATTTTTTTCTATATCTTACCAATAAGGCGTGGCAGAGGAAGAGGAGAGGGGAGCATATTTTTTTTTTCCTTTTTTTACAAAGTTCTGTCCATATAATATTGTCCACATTGATTCGAAACTATGTTCGCTATAGGCTAATTTTATTATTTAATCGTAATTCATAATTGTGGATCAATGGATTTCATATATCGAAGGTTGGGGAAAAAAACATTAAAGCTCGTCAGTAGCTACTAAACAAAATTAAAAAAAAAAAAATCGGTCCACATACAGAAGAGAAAATGGTACTGGACTATTTTTTCTTTGCCTATTTATATATTGTTATGTATGCCATTTCATTATTCAGTCATGCTCTAACCCTACAAGTCCCTCTCTGTCTTATTTGGCCTTTGAGGCTCAACTTGTCCGATTATTGTACATAATTAAACCCCTTAAGACCAAACCTATGGGACGACTATGGCGGAGGTGATTTCGATGACTATTCGAGAAAGGACGAGATAATATTTCTGGTCTGTTCCAAATATTTCTAGTTTGGTGGAGAACACAGTGCGATCAGTTATTATATGGACAGTGAAGATAAATAGTAATTAGTAGATAGACAGTGGTGAATATAAATAGTGATCAGTTTAAAGACATTCGAAGTATATATAAATTAGAATAGTTGTGTTATAAAATAAATAAGTGTTTAAATAAATTATTAATAAATAAACTGTTGTTTAAAATAAACAAACATCACAATATAGATAATTATATAATATATAAGAACATACCTGGTAGAGCTTGATAATGTGTTGATGATCCAATCTTTTCATTATATCGACTTCCCTATACACTTTCTGCAGATTGCTGGCATCTAGTTGGCTCTTATCGATGATCTTGATTGCAACCTGAAGAAATAAGAGACATAGTAATTTAAAAACCATTGAACCTGTTGTCAGTGGCGTAGCCACGAAGAGTTTTTAGGGGTTTCGCGTCTCCGGTGTTTTTATTCACTTTCATATAAGGTTTGTTCCAACATAAACCAAGTCAGTTTGCGTACTGTCGAGATTCTGCGCAGTCTAGAATTCGTGTTCCAACAAACCTTAGACTCAAAACTGTACAAAAACATATTGTTCCAACACAACGAAAACTAATCACAAACCGATTTGTGTACTGTCAAATCAGTTCCTGGGTCTGAATAGGAACGAATTGTCAAGACATGCGCAAAGCCGCAATAAACTGAACATTTCGTGATTGTAATTATATTATTTGTTTCTATTGTCTCTGACAGTTCTGATTTGTATTTGTTAATCTAGTTTAGTCTCATAGTTTTTGTTAAGTATCATTTATTTTATTTTGTCGTTTATTATTGTAATAGTGCGTCTGTTGAATTTAAAAAATGTGTTCCAACATAATCTAGTTCTAAGTTGAGTCCCAATCCACGACCAGTACCTGACAGGTTGTCAATTACTAGTCGTCGACAGATTGTCAACAATAAGTTTTGGACTGGTTTATGTATTGTTCCAAGATCGTTGTTGGAACAAACCTTTAATATCTGGAATTAAAGTTAATTCAAACGCTAGTCTGATAATCGCAGCTTTAAAACGGATTTCTTATGTAACCTAATTATACAGAGTGGCCCAAAAGTCTGGAAACGGCCAATTATCTCGTAAAGTGCTAGTCCTAATTGGACAAAATTTGAGATACACCTATTTTGGGATACGGTGATTCCAGATTTAATATTTGCAATGTTGACAGATTTGCCGTTTCTCTTAAATTATTAGTCACTTTGGTTTTTCAAATTTTTCTTTCCTGTATATTTAGTCATTATTGTAATCTCCTATTTAATACGAGTTCAACCATATGTAACACATATGTAGTCTGGAAGGTCTTAAATAAATAAAATAAGTCTGGCAACGCCTAATTGTTTCAATAAATTTTTTAATACAAACTATTTTCAACTACATTAAAACGTAACAATTGAAAGATTATAACATTTTTAGCATAATGGTTACTTTATCAAGTGTTCAAAATGTGCTCCATTTGTGAGTTGACAGTACCCTAATCGATGGTAGAATGCGTCTACCACATTTCTCCATGATTGTTTTATTTATTTAAGACCTTTCAGACTACTTAAAATCATAAGTGTTACATATGGTTGGACTCGTATTGAATGGGAGATTTCAATAATGACTGAATATACAGGGTGATAAATTTGAAAAACCAAAGTGACTAATAATATAAGAGAAACGGCAAATCTGGCAACATTCCAAATATCAAATCTGGAATCTACGTATCCCTAAATAGGTGTACTCCAAATTTTGTACAATTAGGATTAGCAATTTACGAGATAATTGGCCGTTTCCAGATTTTTGGGCCACTCCATATTTAAATTCGCGGTATTATAAAACTAAATCAACATTCGCAAAACAGAAAATATTTCTATTAAATATTTTCAAATCTACTACTCAAATAAATTAATGATATCCAGCCCATTTATGTTTGATCCCGGTATTAAGACAAAGAAAAACCTAATTAAAAATTTGGAAAACGGAAAATATTTCT